TCGATTGGTTTGGTGGTAAAAGAAGAGAGGTAAGAAGCTTTCGGATCCGTCCCCAGGGTATTCTGGTGGTCCCGAAACATGCTCATTTGTGTGACTTTTCGGTTTTTGTTGCTTACGCGTGTTGCCATCTATTATCATTGATGGGAAGTGTGGCGTACGAGTTCCCGATGCCTTTGGCGATGGGAAACAATCTTCGGTTTTGATCGTGAGTCTCTTACGTGGCAGTGAAATACTGTACCGCTATCGCAAAATTGCTCCTGTGCGGATGATTTTCATATGTGATCCGTTTCTTGGTGCAAGTTTTTTGTTTGGTCATCAGAATTTTTATGTGAATTAAAAGTGGGTTGGAGTTGTGCAGTAAGGGCGGTGGGACTATAACTTGTAAAACTATTGGTGAAGTTCTGGGATACCACTCATTTCTTCCTCTTTTGTCTTGTATCTGTGTGCGATGCATGGAGTTTTAGCATGACTTTATGTCTACATTTTTCAATTTGTATGTGCTGGACACTCAACAGCATCTTTCCTGCGCTATGGATAGGCCGAAGCGGACAGGTCATTTGGTCATCGCGATAACTCAACTTGTCACCCAACGATTTTCTTCACTGTTAACGCAAAAACCTTGTGTGTGACTGCCTTGTAGTCTTTGGCAACAGCGTTGTTCAGAGAGCCACTGAAATAGCAGCACGGGTCGAGAGAGATTTAGTATTTTTGAACATGTTCGAAGATTTATTCTCTGGTGATGTGAAGATGGATAGAATGAATTTAATATTTCTTCTGGAATAGTAAATATGTGCGTGCCTAATAACCGTATTTTACAATGTTACTTAATTCCTCGATTTTATTATACTTCTTGTACTTCTAGCACAACCGCCGACTGTTTAAAACCAAACGTATGGTCAGTCTATTAAATAAGTTGCTGAAGCTCTTTACTGTATAATTATTTCACTACCAGTGTAGTTTTAAAACGTTTGTATCGACTAGCAGTCAAATTATCGATTGCGGACAAAATTCCACGTGGAGGTTAATAAAAAAATTTAAAAAAACCCAGTAGTTATATAAAATCAAATGCTAAAAAGTGAGAAATTGGTTGAGTTTATTTCTGGATTATAGCATAAGAACCGGAAACGCTTTTACAATATCACCGAAACGTAAAACAAAGAGAGCCATCAAGTGAAGATGTTTTTATTTATTGTTTGTCACAGACAAGCTGCGTATGGAACAATGGTTTCTAATTGTTGTCTTACAGTGGAACTCGCGCTTAAGAATAAATAAGAAAATGTTAGAATTTTACCTTAGGCTACAGAAATTATGCTGTGCACCTGACCTGAAAGAAGAAATTTTTTTTTAAATGTTCCTGAAAATGTCCGGCTTGACGTTGGCAACATCGTATTTTTATTACATTCAGAGTTGAATAGGAAAATTACGATACACAAAACAATAGGTTGTAAAAAAGTTATCTTAATAATTTAAGGGAAAATTTTTAAAAATAAAATGTAAGATAGACCAGAACCAAATGATAATTACTCCAATATCCGGACATCTACATTAAATCTAATGCTTTCTGGGGTTTGAAGAGATATCCAAATTTTTTTAACTGCCACATCAGTAATAACGTAGCAATCCAGTACTGTGTTGTGACATGACTGGAATAAAGTTGAATGGGTGGGAATGTTCGTGTATTTTAATGCGATGAAATTTCCAATTATTTTCTAACGAAATCCTAAGTATTAGGATCGTAACGTCATATTTTACACAAAGGGAAGATATCACAGTGGAAATTAAGAACAGGAGAAAGAATTACAAAAATTTCAGTAATCATGCGCTGACAAGGAAGAACAACAGTTTAAACAGACAGTTTAAACAAACGTTAATTTTCTACACAAACTGAAATTTCAGTCGTTGCAATTACTTGGAAATTCCAGCAAATTCAAGAAAAATTCTGAAACAAAAAACTTGTATAATGCGAATACGAGCCAGTTTCCCTTAGAAAGTCCTCCCGAAGGTATCCATTCTCTTAAGGAAATAGTCCTCGTGTTCTTTGCTGTATCCAAATAATGTAACCTAACCTGAAATAAAAATGGTGAAACTCAAATCATAATAGATTTTGTAAGATTACTGAAGATACCAAAAGCTGCTGGAGAATTTAAAATTAAATTTAATTCTTTTGATGGTCGTGAAAAGTCTCATATGATATCCTATTAATGGAAAAGTTTAATTATTGTAGGGTATGGTGTAAAAAATCAGTTTGATCGCAACTGATCTGAACATGGAATTGAAATTAACATTAAGCATTTATGTATTTGCCATGTTTTCTTGCTCAAGTGACTAATTCAAATACATTTAGAACTCATTAGTGTTATATTATCATTGTGAGAAGAAATTTCGATTCAGATCTTCGTGGAAGTGAAGAAGCACCCTAAAACCGTAACGAGCATTTCTTTACATAATTTAATGGAATCTGCTTGAAATTTCAAAAGTCAGGATATCTTAAGATTTGTATTTTCAAAATAATTTTTTTTGAAATGAGAAGATCTGTCAGACAGATTTTGCCAGTTTCAGTGAACTAGAAAAGGGACATTCGAATCTATTCGAAAAGTCGAATCTTCGTTTTATTTATTTATTTATTTTTTTGCTTTCGAATCTTAAGAGGGAAAAAGGTTTCTTAAAGGAACCATTTAACATATTACCCTATTCTTGCGTATATAAGCCGCACGCTTAATTTTTGCTTCTAATTAAAAAAATCTGAAGGATAAGCCATGGGCTGTTTACAGTTTACAATATTTTTTTTTTTTTTTTTTTTTTGTTTTTGCAGATGCGTAGGCTTTGTTTATTTTTATTTTTTATTTATTTATTTGTGTGTGTGTGTATGTGTGTCTGTGAAAAACGTAAAAACGTGTGGTTGCACTTAAGAGAATGTAATAACTCAACATTTTGGAAATAATAATTTCATTTATGCTTATTAGAACTCTTCCTAAGGGGGGAAAAGGATATTAATGTTAATGGTACGCTCTTGAAATTTTTTGACTTTGTTAATCAAAAATTCGTTAAAGTTTTACAAAATATGAAATAGATAATAAAACAAATTCCTAATTCAGGCTGCCAAGATGCCCAGATTCGAGTAGAGGAATACATTATTCAGAAGTTGATGGCTCTAGGTACCGTTGTTTTATCACAATGCGAAACATGCATACATCTTCGTTATTTAGTTTCTTTAAGTATACACAGGGAGATATTGTGGAGCGTGTGCGGAGAATCACCTGCGTTTTAAGTGTTCTTCTGATTTCATTCCCTATACTGATTCGCTGTACTTCTGATTGCAAAGAAACGATGTTTCAATACTAAATATAATGAGGAACATGATGCTCTTTCTAAGGAATGTCCTGTGTATTTGGAAGAAATTAGATTTATTAAGGATTATCCTGATATATAAAGTTTATTTATATTTTATTTAACATTTTTATTGTGAACAAGGGCACGGGCTTACGTACATACAAAAACAGCACCGACCACTTGCGGGAAAAACTTAAAAGTTAATTTAGCAATAAATTTAAAGGGTAAAGATTTAGTGCTAGACTACACAATTCAATTTAATCCAGCAGATTTCCTCAGAAAACCTACACTCGCAGGATATAACTCGATGGCAAAGAAATGCGTAGCCGCTATTGAGATCAACAGCTGGCTAAACTAGCAAACGCGCGCTTTCACTAGCGAAATCATGCTTTGTCTAACCTTTTATTTCCAACAGTTTAAATACTCTCGTTCACCTACTTCATTTTCATCCTGACTCTGAAATGCGAGGGGAAATAAGAGAATTCAGGAAAGTCTCACATATTTAAATAAGAGTGAGTAAAAAAAAAAAAAAAAAAAAAAAATTAGATGCTGTTATCCGAGTTTTTTAGTTTTACTTTCTTTAACGTATTTAAATTCTTACAACTATAAGGATAATTTAAGAAATGCTTTAAAATTTTTCTCGTTTATTGTTGATAAGATGCATTTAAAACATTATTTTTACATTTTTTCGCTGAAATTTTTTATTATGTATATAAATTATGAAACATCATAATGCTTGTAAAGAACAATGACCCCCCTAAGTAAAAAAAAAAAAAAAAAAATAAATAATGAAAAATTAAAATAATTAAGTGCTCTAATTAGAATTAAATCCAAGATAAGTTTTTGCATTAACATAAGACATCAGTTAACTTTTAAATTAAGGCACTGAGCAAGTGTTTAGTACCGTCGAATAATAATAAGTCATCATAAATGGAAATTTATCTAAAATTTAATTTTTCTAAATATTAAATTTAATATTAACATTTTGAAAGAAACACAAATAACTGTAATTTTTTACGGACTTTAAATCGAAATAAATACTTACATTATAATAAAAATTTTAGGGAAAGAAATAAATAAAAATATTTTGTGAACTTAAATAACATGATGTAAAAAACTTCTTTTAATTACAATTATGATTCGAATGTGCGTACTAATTATCATTTTCGTATATTAAAATGTTTTTAATCAATATCAGTTAAATGGATCATTATGCAATCTCGAACAAAAAATTCTGGAAAATAATTATTTGCTAGGTCACGTGAAAGGCAAATTAAAGGGTCGTATTACTCGCGCAGTAGCAACAGTTGCCAAGTCACATGGATGGTAAATAGCTTGGTAGCGTAACGTAGCGTGTCGTGTTCCAGCTTCAAAATATGGACGGATTTTCCTGACATAAATAATTAGGGATGTTCAATAAGAAAAATTTCAAATATGAATATATTACTGAGATTTAAATTACCAAATTATTGGATTTTTTTTCCGTTATGAAGTTTTTCGTTTCCTCCTTTTTGGGATTTCTTTCAAACTCCCGTAAAGTGTTATCCGAGAATCCCAAGAAAATATCCTATCAGATCCCTACTCCGAAGCAAAATCCCTACTACTGTGATTGCAGAAATCCCCAAGCGCAAACCATCCGAACCTAATGGCGGGAAATCGCTGTAGGCGATTGAACGGTTAAGTGCGCAATTTTGCTCAGCTCAGCGCGGAAAGTTTGCAGAAGTGGCAACAAAATAAAGAATCAAATAAAAAAAATGTCCGTCCGAAATCGAACAGTCACTACATTCGAACGACAAGACTCGGTCATCGCTCTGCGGGAGAACAACTCACCATCCTTCGAAAGGAATAATAATGTGGTAATAAACTGCGACTTCAGGGAGCAACAGCAGACGACTTCACCACCCAAGCGTGTATTCTTCCGCCGACGAATTCCGTCAGAAATTTTGGATGATTTGCCGGAATCGTCCGTCGACCCCCTACCACAGGAGTTTTCTCCCGCTGGCAGTGGCTTTGGGGGAGGGTTCAACACATACGGAGCGGGACGACTTTCTCAGGACAAACGATTACCGGACGCTAAGTACAGCGGTCGTGCGATCACTGTAATCGGTTCTCCTTTGCGCCGTCCGCCGACTAATCGGAGTAAATCGGTGGATTTTAGCAGACGATATATTGAAAGTAAGTTTTGTATTTACTTTTTATAAGCTTTGGTAAGTGTTGTTGGGTGAAAAATATTAAATAATAGTACTATTTCATTTATTTATTGATTTATATGTGGTTTTTTCTTTAGATTAAAAAAGCAACAGGTAATTTTGCGTTTTGATTTTAATAGCAGAAAGCAGTAGGTAATTCTGCTTATTACTTTTTGATTTGATTTTAATTACAAAGTTAAAGTAAGAAAGCAAAAAATAAAAGCAATAGGCTGCAAAAAATAATAAATGTTGGTCTAATAATGTAAACACTACACCTAATAAATAATAATTTGCAGTAGACTTCCGTTAACTAGGGAACGACGCCAGTTGTTAACTCGAAATCATGGAATAACCCATATTATAATTTACAAAAATATACGCATAACAATCTACTGTATTTTTAAGTAGTCTAATTTGGAGAATAAATTCACTTAGTTATGTAATTAAATAAGATTTTTAAAATAAGTACGCTCTTCAAAGCAGAAAGAACAATGTTTTTGTTTGTATTACCCTTGTATTTTACCCAAATAAGGTGTCTTACCAAGAGTCAATGAAGTAATCCGCAACGCGATTAAGTCAGTACTCTGCCCCTCCCGATTAATCGGGAGTTAACTATATTTTTATGTGAGTTAACTATATTTTTATATCCCATTTTATATTCACCCAGTTAACTTTATTTTAATTATTTACATAAGTTTTTAGTTGGGAGCATTTACCGAAAGTTATTTCACTTATAATTCATTTATTTCGAATATTAGGTGAAATATTAATTAGGGTGAAGTAATGGTTTCGTAAAAAAAGTTATGTTATTATGAAACAATTCTTGGGCACCCCTGATTATTATTATTATTATTATTATTTCTTGATTTGAAAACCAAAAGAGAAAAAAAAAAAAAAAAATGACAACCTGAAAATTTAAAATAGAATTATTTATAAATTATTTAAGGCTATTTTAGATATTAGGTTTTATCTAATTAAATAAAAAATATAAGAATTTATTTAATTAAATAAAAAATAATTCTAAAGTAGAGCCAGAAGCGTAGATAGGGGCGAAGGGGACCCTTATTTTCTCGGGAATGCATTTTTGGCATGAAACATTATTTTATAGGAGTTTATCAAGCGGATCGTCAGGGAAGGTGAAGAATAGTGTGATTCTGAGTTGCCATTTGGAATTAAGAAAAAATTTTACACTAGATAGCACTTGGAAACATCCATTGGAAATTTTAACAGCTACTTAACTCTTGCTATATCCTTTGCTCCATCGAAACTTTTGAACGAGAACTACGAATAAATGATCACGATAACGTTAAGAAAGAGGAAGATTGAAATATTGTGAGAAGAGTTTTCTAAATAAGAATTCTAGACCGCTATCTGACCATGGGCACTGGAAGTCCGAATTTGAATTGTTTTATTTATTTTTCGTATTTTGTAAAATTTTAAATGAATTTTGATTAACAAACTCAGTGATATGAAAGCGAGCAGTGGCAGTCGTGCACGGAATGGAACATTTTTATCGCCAGCGCTCGAGACTGTTTATCGGGAATTCTAAAGATACCCAAGCTTTTAAATATTTTGTGATTTTGCTGATGAACTGAATTTTATATGGCGTAAGTGCGAAGAACGTTATATTTAAAAAATAAAGTTAACACATAAAAAGTTAATAATAATAAAAAGACAAAAAATTTTTTTTGTCTTCCCATCTTACTAAGAAAACTGCATATTGATATGACAAACTGAGAAAAGATTGAAAAAACTTAAAAAAAAATATTCCAGTTTCCAAATATTATTCCCGATGAAATATAAGTGAATGAAAACTACCAATTTACTCTGATGTAGATGTTAACAGACAATTTATTTAAGATAACAAATATTAAAATTTGATAAAAAAAATTACCTTAACGAGGATAACGTAATGTAAAGAGGGAAAAAATTGAGGAAGCTCATGTCTTATCTTTTTGTGTCTTCTGCAGCAATGAATGAAAGTACAGGTATTTAGGAAATTTCTTTAATTGTTAGTACATTTTTCAGTTTGCCAAATTGATTAGAGAGAAAGACTTCGCTTTTATTTAGAAATTTCGCTATTATTTAGAAATTTCGCTATTATTTAGAAAGGAAGAATAAGAGAGAGAAATTTCGCTTTTATTTATAACAGACCTGAAGTGGAAGTACCTTTCAGCGTTTGTTTTGTGCTGTTAAGGAAAAAAAGTATGACTTTAAATCTGAAACAACTGTCAGTTTTAGAGCAGTTCTGCAGGATATCTTGATTGCCTTTTAAGAACTGTATGATTGGCGTAAAAAGTGTCAATAAGCTGTCAAGCATATTTTCGCATTCAGGATCGGCCCTATCATTCGGTGCAAAATATACATTTATACTAGGCAGTAAGTTTCTGGGGGTTAGAGAAATTGATCTAAATTTTACAAGTAATTTATAATTTATTCTCAAAGTGGCAGTGAAATATTTATTGCACTATGTGGCAAAATTTGTAGAGCCAGGCCCCTTTTTACTTCCTTGTACGAAGTAAAAAGGAAGTATTGTAATCGCGAAAAGTTTCAGGCAGCATATTTCAACGAAAATATCCATTTTGACCGCTATCGAATGCAATTTAACGATGTTTTTGCATGATATCTGTAAGTAAGGACAGAATAAAATACTCTTTTCCTTCAAAAAATTATAAAACTGCTTTAAAATGAATTCTGAAGAGAATTTTTCGTGGCGTCTGTACGAACGTATGTACGTACGTATCTCGCATAACTCAAAAACGAGTAGCCTCAGAACGTTGAAATTTTGTATATAGGACTGCTATAACAGGTAGATGTGCACTCGTATTTTGGTTGCAATCGGCCGCACCAAACGTATATAAATATATTTATATATATATATCCACTCTGTTACCCGGCTCAGTGATCTCAGTTTCTTTACTCGTATATGTTTGTAAATCGTACATTTTTTGCTTTGAAAATGATTGAATTATGTTGTTTTTATCTTCCGGTTAAGGATTTTATGCCTTTAGTAAATCTGTGTGCAATATTTTTAGAATTATCAGCAATTTTAAAGTTGTTTAATTGCAGCTAAGCCTTTTTTAATGGCGGCCATTGATGTTTACATTGAAACAGGAGACTAGTGGATTTGTTGCCAATCTAGAGAAACTTAGCTTCGCAACAACAAAGATAACGCCTTCATTTATTATTTAAATCATGCTTAATCCTTTTTGGAATTTTTTCGAGGAAATAAGCGTTTAAGATTTACTTCGTAATTTTTAATATGGATATTTTGAGTTTTTATGTATTTTTGCCTTCTCGCGAAGTGAGAACTGAATTAATTAAATGAGAAATACTCAATCGTGTGTGAAAAACTGTTTCTTTTTTGTTTTGTTTTCTTAATTTCTTTTATACATCATTCTAGCTTTATTATAGTATTTGAATAGAACATGTGGCAACGATTAGATAATTCTATTCTTTAAATGATATAAATTTTGTGCATTATGAGTTATAATATGAACGAAATATATAAGTTGACTGTTATATAATTATTGGATTATATAACAGTTAACTTAGTTTCCGTTAAAAATTATTATATAAGTTAACTGTTATATAATTATTAATACTGTTCAGTGAATCTAGCGACAGAGTGTCGCTATAAACAAATACTAGAGTGAATTTTAAGGAATGCATTTATTCTATTGTGGTTTAGCGCTGTCGGCGAAGTAGATTTAATTCAATCCAATAAGTTTAAATGAAATGCAAGAAAAAATGCGTATAATTTAATATTCCAATTTAATATTCCAATACAAGGAAGTCATGTGGTGTATACATCAGATTTTTTACGTTAGACATGGAAGGATAGCTGAGAAAACTCGATATTCACCGCTTGGGTAGGCTGACAGAAACTGCTGAATTGTGATAAGCTGAAAAGTGAAGAAAACTAGGCTTTATATTCCGTTTCCTAAAGTTAGATGGCTCAGTTTAACGTTATCATTATCACCATCTCTAACCCCTTGCGTTTTCTGTCCTGGTTTTGGAATATGAACCTACGTTAAACATGTGATTCGTTTGTTTATAGTCTGTTTATCTCGTCATTCTCGCTTTTATTGTTATTTAATATTCTTGAATTATTTAGTATAATTGCGGAAACAATACTGCCATTGTATTTTGATTTATTTATTAGAAAAAATATATCATTCAAAGTTTTCCAAATTATGATAGAAAGAAAAAGTTTAAGGTTTGTAACTGTTAGCTATTATCTAAAAATTTATAATTTAAAATCAAATTTGTACTTTGAGCTATACTACTGTGCCTTGAAAAGTTCGCTGTTTGAAGTTTATCAGATTACCTTCATTTCACGAGTCAACATATTCCAACCCCTTCGAACCTCAGTGCTAAAAGATGCTTCTTGTCACTATTTGTGAATTAAAAAAGAAAAGTTCTTTTTTTTTCTTGGCCGAATGGTACGTGTGAAAAACATTATATGTTGATACCTTGTTTTTCTAAATGACTCTATAATGAGAACTGGTTCAATTTTGCAGTACTTGCAAGAACAATTAGGGGAGAGCAGACCTTCCTTATTTACGTGAATGTGGCCAATTTGAAGAAATAATTCTGTTTCCGGGATTTTTCTTCCCGCGTTTTTCAAAAATCTTCCTGTTCCCGCGAAATCGGAGAGTACTGTCCTCCTCTATCACAGCTCTTCAGGAGATGTCACGATGAGTTATTACGAAGAGCTGGGTAGTTTTTTTTTTTTTTTTTTTTTTTTTGTGAATAAGTTAAATCTTCGTTAGATCGAAGACGTATCTTAGCTTAGGCTCCTCTCGAAATCTTTAGTTTCATTCTGTTTGTAATTCTGCTACAATATTAGCTGCTGTTTTCACATCTTGTGTTAATCAATATGGATGTTTAAGACATTATTGAAACTAAAAGGTTAAAAAAAATTTTTTTTAGCCCTTTATAAAGGTTATCAATATCGAATTCGGAACACATGTAAGGAAAATG